TCTTTTTGTGGCTAGGGAAGCGTGCGGAGTGGAGGTACCGGCTACAGGAGAGTGGTGGGGAAGCCCCCTGCCTGAGGAAAAGCCTCTTCCTTGTGTCCGTCCTCGGGGAGCCCCCATCTTGGAGCGTCTCTGGGGATGAAGTGCCGAGGGACCCCCTCCGCCCCACGGACTCGGTGCCGAGCAGGGCCGGCCCAACGGTGAGACCAAGCAGTGGCCTGGAAGGCAGGAAAACGCTGCTCCAAGTGGGGTGGAAAGCAATTTCCTACAAGCACAGCATTTAAACTACTCCCGGGCCCGTCTCCACGTGCTCCTGGAGCCCCAGCAGCAGCCGCTAGCATTGCGGTAGAGCCACAGCCTTCCCAACGTGCAGCAGCTACCTGCTGCAGCGTCGCCTCTTCCCAAACACCCCGTCCCACGGGGTGGAAGAAGTTTGTTCCTGCCCTGAGTTTGCAGCCGTTGCCTTCGCTGTGTCTAAAACTGCCACGGGACACGTGTAACCTCTGAGCAGGAGCCGTCTGGGCCTCAGGGGAGAGTTTCAGCATGGGCCTGAGGGCTGCCGCGACGTCGGAGGTGGGCTGGCACGAAGCAGAGGCGGGATGGGGACAGACTGCGGCAGAGACGGGGCCTGAGGGACTCTGAGAAATCAAAAGAGCTGCTGCTTCTGTTTGGGGTTGATTGTCTGGGGATGTTTTGGGGAGTTTGCCGAAAGATAGTGTGTAGATGTAACGGACTTAAAAACAAACGAAAAAGCCCCAAACGCTCCAAACCGCCCCCTTCAAACAACAAACCCCACAAATCTTCCCCAGAGTATCGCCCTACTGAACTGGGAAGCAGGCTGTGCCCCAGCTGCTGTGCTTTTTCTGTCAAGCAGGGGATGAAATTTGTCCTAGAAAGAAGCTGCCCTTGGGAGCAGGAGGATCGTGGCCCGGCATTGCTAGCTTAGGGCTTGGCGAGTCCCGTCTTGCTCCAAGGAGCTGCTGCTGCCCCCCAAACCGCCTGGTCCAAGTCAGCCCCTGATGGGCCACGGTGGGACGAGACTTGGCAGCCCCTCTGCCCATCCGGGACCCGGCTGCCCTTCCCTGCCTGCCCGCAGCGCGGCTGCAGCGGAGGGGAGCTGATGGTGCAGCGGAGGCAGCGCTCGGAGCCGCCACGGTCGCAGGCAGGACCTGACAGCCCTGGGCTTGCTTTACCACGGCTGCCAGGGGGTTTCCAGGGGAGGAAGCGAGACCGAGAGGCGGAGTGAGGGTTTGAACAAGCCGGCACATGAAAGTCAGGTCTGGACCTTTCTGATCACTTCTGTTGCCCTGTTAGGGGAGGAAAATGCTAAAATAGAGACAAGGAGTGGAAAAGAGCAGAAATGATTAATGGTTTCAAGTAGTGCAGGTCATGAAGAAGATGTAATTAGTCCTGGCCTATTTAACCTGAAAGAAAAAGGAAGCTATAAATAAAGGGGGGGGGGGGGGGGGGGGGGGATATTGCCCTTCTGTGCCAGATGGGGAAACTGAGGCACTGAGCAGAACTGACTTGAGCGAGGTCCTGCTGGGAGGCTCTTCTGCAGCAGGCGGGGGCTCGGCTCCGGGGTTGGGCTGTTTGGAGAAGTCTGAGACCAGACGCAGCTCCGCGGTTTCATTAAAGCCCAGTTTGCTGCTGGCTGCTAAAAATGCAGAAGTTTTGCTTGCAGGAAACCAAATGTAAATCAGCCATGAGAGCAGAAAAGCACACGCTGCGCTGGCCGCTGAACCTCATCTGGTGTGATTTTTTTTTTCTTTTTTTTTCTTCTTTTTTTTTTTATTTTTTATTTTTTTTGTCTTTTTTTTCTTTTGCCGTCCTTCAGCTGCGCTACGCTTTGGTTCTGGACTCCCCAGTGCTGAGGTCAGACTACAGGGAAAGCAGGTTTCTGACAGTCTTGGCTTGCACACGGGAACATCCCTGTGCCCGGCGACGACGGCAGCGGGCGGGGGGGTGTCAGCTTATTGTACAGCCACCCTTCTCCTTAAAGGGGTTCTTGTCCTCGGGGATTCCTTTCAGCAGCGGGTCCTCGCCCGCCATGGACTCGATGTACTCCTTGATCTCTTTGCCGGTCTTGGAGACCTGCCAAGGGAGGAGATGCTCTGCGTGGGTTACGGGAGCGAACCCTCGCTGCAGAGCTGCGCTCTCGCCCATCGGCTGCCTGCGAACCCGTTCGGGCAGGCGGGGGAGGGGGGGGAACTGTGGCCGTCGACATCCCGCCCAGCGCGGGGTGTCCCCGAGAGCGTCCCCGGGGAGCTACGGCCACCTCGCTGCGTGGGGGGCTGCAGTTCCCAGGCTCTGGGACGTGGGGCTAAGCCCGAAGGGCATGTTTGCCTCGAGGGGAGAGGTGTGAACGCACATGCTTCTGCCTGTATTTGAGGTTGAATTTCAGGGGTTGTGGTTGTTTTTTTTTTTTTTTACCTTTGCAGCACGATCAGGTCAGGAAGTTACCCCGGGGAACGGCTCCTTTGCATTTTGGGTGAAAAACTCACCATTTGCCTCTCGTTCTTCACCTCCTTCTTCAGCTGATCCAGCTCCATCTTCAGCAGCTCCTTTTCTGTCATGTCCTGAGCCATTTTGCCCTGTAACCACGGGGAAACGGCGCGTTGTTAGTATATAGATGGGCTTCTCCTACGGCACATTAGGACTGTTGCTTTGGCCCTAATAGTGTTGCAAACGTTGCTAACGTCTCAGCTGCCCCCATGGCGAGACATGGGCTGACGCTAAAAAAAAAAACCCCCGAGGCGGGAGGCATCTTTCAGGCGCCTTTCAAAGCCCGTCTTGTAACATCTGCTGTAACCAGATTTTCGTTTGCTCGTTCTCAGCGGGCACATCGAGCGACAGATGCAGTCTGAGGGCAGCGGAGGGGGATCCAGCCCGGTTTTTAAAGAGGTCTTTGCTACCCCAGAGGCTGTTTCCCCAAGACACGAGGTGGCCGGTTCAGCGGGGCCGGCTGAGCCCGTAGAAAAGCCGCTGCCTCGGGGCTGTCGGAGCAGCAGCCTCGTAGGAGAACCTGGATGCCCAGGTCTGCAAACTAGATCTTCCTGATCTGCGTCCTGTGCCTGGGCAAGAGCATCTTTGCAGGTTTTCTAAGGAACTAAATATTTTTTTCCCTTTTTTATTTTTTTCTTCTCTCCCCTCCTTACGTCTGGCCCCCAGGTAAGTGCTAACATGGATTCATGGCTGTGAACTTGGCTATTTGTGTGCAGAGGCGTTGCTTGCCACGACAGAAGGATTTTGGGGCTGTGTGGGCTGGAAAAGCCCAGCTCTTTTTTTCACGAAAGCCCATCCAAGGGTTGTGTGAGATTCCTGCACGGCTGGCCTGCGCTGCTGAGATCTCTTCCCATGTTTAAACTTGGGTTTAAAAGCCCGGCCACAACCTTCTAAATAAAAAAAGTAAACGTGATTAAGCTGAAACGTGCCTTGGCCCCGCTTTGGAAGGCGTCAAGCCTGTGTGCCCTGGACCCCGCTGGTTTTCTGCGGCTGCTCTCGTGGCGTGTGTGCCCAGTGCAAGCCCGCGCCGCACAGCCGGCCCCGGGAGATGCTTGTGGCAGGGGAGCCGAAAGCCACAGCACAGCCCTGCTACCAACCCAGGGAGGAGGTGGCTCCCAAACCGTGTGGACCCCACGATGCCGTTTGTACCTGGAGGGAGCAAAGCCACTTACCTGCGGGGACGAGGGGCTGCCCCTCTCGGCGGTGGAGACGTTCAGAGATCCATCCGAGAGGAGACGCCGTCGACTGGACCCTCGCTCTCCTGATCCAGGCTTGAAGAGTCCTTCAGCTCTCTGGGAGGGGAGCAGATGTCTTTGGTCCTTAAGCTGATAACAGACTCAAGCGAATAAGCTGGTCAGGTGTTGGGCATTAGCCTCAAAGCCCCGGGGTAATCTGTGGTGGGGCTGCGGGGAGGGTGAGGATGAGGATGGGGGAGGCAGGGTAGGTGGGGTGGAGAAGCGCTTTGTGGGGTGGGTGACTGGGGCAACCGGGAAGCCCTTGAGCCC